CACTTTGGGAGGCAGAGACAAGAGGATTGCCTGAGTCCAGGAGTTTGAGACCAGACTGGGCAACTTGGTGAGAACTTGTCTCTTCCATAAATCAAAAAATTAGCTGGGTGTGGTGGTACATGCCTGAAGTTTCAGCTACTTGGAAGGCTGAGGTAGAAGGACTGCTGTAATCCCAGCACTTTGGTAGGCCGAGGCGCGTGGATTGCCTGAGCCTGTGTCTCTACAATAAATAACAAAAAATTAGCCGAGCTTGGTGGTACATGCCTGTAGTTCTTGGAAGGCACATGCCAGTAGCTACTTGGAAGGCTGAGGTGGAAGGATTGCCTGGGCTGCGGTGGCCCTGAGTGTGCCACTGCACTCCAGCCTGGGTGACAGAGTGAGACTGACTCAAAAAAAAAAAAAAAAAAAAAAGACCCTGATTCAAAAAAAAAATTCTTCTTAGAAAAATATATGTGTGTATGTATACACCCAAGCATACAACTTTAGGCCCTTTTGTTGACCATATAAAGCCCATGTTCAGATCCTCTTAACTAGGGTCAAGGTGAAGAATCTCTACCATAACTGGAGAAATCTCTTTTTACTCCTGAATATGTTTGAATCAGAGTTTGTTCTCTAGGGTAAGGGGTGACAGTGCTCATTTTTACCTGGTACTGAGGTAAAACAAATGCAGTCTTCATTTATTAATCCCTTTTTTTGATAACAGAGTAATTTAATATGCAGTTTCTTACTATCTCTCATCTTGACTGGCAATGCTCACATTAATGGGAGGACTGACACCAAAATAAACACAGGGGACAGCTGGAAATCCATTGTGATTGTTCAGATTTTGCAAGCATTCCCATCCTTCATTCCTCCACCTCCCTAGATCTTTACATGATTATTTAAGACATTTGGACCTCCACTGTCACCACTCCCCCTTGTAACTCTGTCAATAATCCAGAAACAGTAGCCATTGATTGGAGCCCCAGAATGCTACAAAATGAAAGATGAAAATAAGCCAAGTAAACATGGATTAGAGAACAAGATTGCCAAGCCGTGCTGAGTTCCAGGGCTGCATTAAAGGGGCTATTGAGCAAGTCCAGAAGATAGCAACCAGATGGCAAAGGATATGGCAACCACATCATATGGTCAGAGCTAGAGAGAAGAAAAGACTCGGGTAGTGATAACAGAACTTCCCTAGCCTTCTTTATGCTTTAGAGAACTGTATGGCATAGTAACTCAGTTCAGACCTAGACGTGCATTCAAATCCCAACTCTACCACTTTTTGGCCTTCTGGTCCCAGACTCTTTTTTGGTTTAAAACAGATAATAAGAGTACCACCTCTAAGGTTCTTAGGAGTTAATGACAGTGTTTGGAAAGTATTGTATAGAGTAGTCTAACATGCCTTAAGTGCTCATTCAGTAAGAGTATAGCATTTCATCCTCTCAGGATGAAATAGAAAAAAATGAATTAACATTACAGACAGGCAGATTCTGGCTCAGTCTGAGAAAGAAATGCTGTCTCTAAATGTGTTAAAGTAAAAACTGAACAACTCTATTCATTTATCAGAGATTCATAAGTGGTGTTCTACCATTTGGTAAGAAGTCATATGTGGGCTGTGCACAGTGGCTCAAGCCTCTAATCCCAGCACTTTGGGAAGACGAAGCTAGAGGACTGCCTGAGTCCAGGGGTTCAAGACCCGCCTGGGCAGGTTGATGAGGCCTCATCTCTATAAGAAATAAAAAAATTATCCAGGCACGGTGGCACGTGCCTGTAGCTCCAGCTACTTGGAAAGTTGAGGTGGAAGGATTGCCTGAGCCCAACAGGTCAAGGCTGCCATGGCCATGAACATGCCACTGCACTCCAGCCTGGGTGACAGAGTGAGACTCCAACTCAAAAAAAAAAAAGTCATAATCTAAGTTCCCTTTCTACTCTAAGACTTTTTGATTTTGTAAACCAAACCTATATGAAAACCATATTTATTAACATGGCTGTTTTATGTTATAGAATTAAATCCAAAGAAGTTGGCCCATGAAATACTGTAGTTTAATTTAATGAGTTTGTTTTTTTTTTTTTAAGAGATGGGTCTTGCTCTGTTGCCAGGCTGGAGTGCAGTGGTGTGATCATAGCTCACTGCATTTAACCTTGAACTCCTAGGCTCAAGTGATTCTCCCACCTCAGTGTCCCAAGTAGCTAGGATACAGGTGCACACCACACACCCAGCTGGTTTTTCTTTTCTTCCTTCCTTCCTTCCTTCCTTCCTTCCTTCCTTCCTTCCTTCCTTCCTTCCTTCCTTCCTTCCTTCCTTCCTTCCCTCCTTCCCTCCCTCCCTCCCTCCCTAAGCTGCTCTTGAATTCATGGGCTCAAGGTTTCCTCTTGCCTCTTCCTCCCAAAGCACTGGGATTACAGGTGTGAGCCACTGCACTTGGCATTATAATGAGATTTTTAAATTGCACTCTTTACTTATATCGTTTACAAACTGAGAGAACTTGCCAAGAATCACTGGTGTGAATGATACTGGAATTAAATTTGAGTCACAGAAGCTTTCATATAGTGCTTTAACTATGGAGAGAAATGAAGAAGGTGTTAGGTATTAATCACCTTGGGAAAATTTAATTGTGTTTTTTAGAATACAATAAAAAAGCCAGTTTAGGAGGAAAAATGCATAAGCGCTATGTAAGTTCTACCTAAGACAATTTGGATTGCCCCCTTTTTTTTTTTTTTTTTTTTGAGTTGGACTCTCACTTCATCGCCCAGGCTGGAGTGCAGTGGCACGCTCATGGCCACCCCAGTGTCGACCTGCTGGGCTCCAGCGATCCTATTGCCTCAGCCTTCCAAGTAGCCAGAACTACAGATGCACGCTACCATACCTGCCTTTTTTTGTTTTGTTTTTAATTGTAGAGATGAGGTCTTGCCAAGTTGCCCAAGCTGGTCTCAAACCCACGGGCTCAAGGCAATTCACTCTCCTCAGCCTCCCCAAATGCTGGGATTACAGGCTGAGCCACTGAGCCCAGCCTGGAATGCATCTTTTTGTTTCTCTATAGCTTATATCCTGCCTCCTTTTATCAATAGTTTGAAGCAGTAGCTTAGAGCACTATATTAGAAATGTAAGGAAAGATAGCCGGGCATGGTAGCCCATACCTGTAATTCTGGCTACTCAGAAGGCTGAGGTGGAAGGATCGCCAGAGCCCAGCAGGTCGAGGCTGTGGTGGTCGAGAGTGGCCACTGCACTTCAGTCTGGGTGACAGAGTGAGACTCCAACTCAAAAAAAGAAATGTGAGGAAAGAAAAAAGAGCTAAAAGGCCTTCCCACATCAGTTCAGAGAGCCAAATAAATAAATCTTGATATTAACTACTATTGCTCAAAAGAAAGTGATGCAGAGAAAGAATCTTTGTATGTTGGGACTCAGAGTGGTATATTGAAAAAGAAAACTACATTTTTAGCAGAAAACCTAGGCTTTTATCCTTGTACAGCTGCTGGTCTACATTGTAACTTTTGGCAATTCTTTTTACTAATATTAAGACTCCATTTCCAAATTTGTAAATCAGGAATGTAATCTTGTTTGGTCTTCCTCACATGGATGTTATAATAGTTAAATGACTTAGTTTCTACATCAAAGAACTTCGTAAGCTATAAAGCATCATCCAGATTTTGATTGTTGTATATGACACCAAAATAGCATTCTGAACAAACAGAACTATTTTGTGTTTGCCGGGTACGGTGGCTCACGCCTCTAATCCCAGCACTTTGGGAGGCATAGGATTGCCTGAGCTCAGTTAGGGGTTCAAGACCAGCCTGGGAAACTTGGCGAGACCTTATCTCTACAGTAAATAAAAAAATTAGCCAAGTGTGGTGGCATATACCTGTAGTCCCAGCTACTTGGAAGGCCAAAGTGGAAGGCTCACCTGAGCCCAGCAGGTTGAGGCTGCCGTGGCCGTGAGCATACCACTACACTCCAGCCTGAGTGACAGAGTGAGACTCCAGCTCGAAAAAAAAGAATTATTTTTTGTTTAAGAAGATCATGAACTGACTTAAAAACAACCAAAGATTTGGGGGACTGGGAATGTGGAGATGGATGGCATTTCCTTTAGGATGCCTTTTTTTCCTTCTAAAGTTATTTTAAAACAGTAAGAAAGACAGTCTCCTTTTACCTTAGCAATAATTCAAAATAAAAAAGTCTTTTAGAAGAAAGATAAAATACTCTACCCCACCATTTCATTAGAGGTCCTTTCCAGTCTATACTTGGCATTCTGGGCAGTAGTTAACATTGAGTATTTTATTTCCTGATAAGTCAGATTCCATTTTAAATTGTATATGAGCTACCTAGAAATGATACTTTGTTTAGAGCCAATTAAAAAAAAATTTAACCCATAGAAAATTTTAAACAGAACAATGAACACCACCTTTATATCCTTACCTATATTCACCAACTGTCAATCTTTACCATACCTTCTCTGTCTTTATTGCTATACATACATTTTCTTTTGCCAGACCATCCAAACATAGAAATATGCTATTTAATTCTTATTTTATCTGCTTTTCTAATGCAGCAGGGTAACATGATTGATGTAAAGTTTGTCATATAGAAGTTACCAGATGTTAGGCTGTAAATGTCTATTATCTGAATTCGTAGGTACATTTTATTAGAGTCAGGGATATTCAGATTAAGGTTATCTTCATAGTAATCCCTGAGTGATACCACTTAAATTTCTAAGATTTGTATAATCAGAGAAAAATATTTGACTAATTAAGTTTATGACCTTAAAAACTAATGACAGTCGTATTCTTGACTGGAAATAAAGTAGTTAAAATATTACGTACTTTTAAGTATCTTTGCTATTATATTATAGGCAGTTTGGAAAAAGAAAGAACTTAATATTTTAAATAGAACTTGTGTTAGGACTTATATCTGTCATTGGTTAGTAAGTTTATTGTTGTGAATTGATGGTATCTGATGGAAAATATATTTATTGTAATCAATTAATGTAGGTATGATTACAAGAGCTATTTTTTTTTTCCAGGAGATTTTGATGAATTCATTCAAGATAATAACGACACTATGTTGAAAAACATAGCAGAAGATCTTCGGAATTGCTTACCTCTGGAAACCATGCTTTCCTCAGAACGTCTAGCCCTCCAAAAAGTAAACACATTAAATGAGTTTACTTTTGGTGCTACTTAGGCTTCTCCTATTCTTCTCTAACCCCACAGCCTCTTTAGGCCAGCTAATTGGTCCTAAATTTGGTTTCAAATAGTTTTTCATGTAATGCTTCATCCATATTCCCACTTCTTTTGAGTCTTTAACCCTTTGGTTTCCCAGTACTATTCATTCGGGAAATATTTTTTGAGGGCATCCTGTTTGCCAAGCTCTCAAAAGTCAAAAAATGATCGAGGCCCTACAAGGGCCAATGATAGGGCCTTGCTGACATCACTGCCCTATTTTTCTCTTCCTTATTTCATTTCTTTCAGTCTCATCAAGGGTGAAGCACACCTTTTTGTTCTCTTCAGGAATTTGCATCCAACATTTTTTGCTTGTTCTTCTATTTCCCTTTTTTCTAGAATTAGTTCTTTTTTTCTCTAAACCCCCTCATTCGAGTTCTTTCACATCCTAACCCTTATGGAAGACCTATGCTATAAATATTATCTGTAAAGCAAAGCTAATATAATCAATCTCTTCTTCACTTACTAATCTGGAAACAGCAATCCTCCATGTGGTTTTCAGTTTATACATTCCTGAACAGAGGAACTAACTCCTGCCTATTCTTGTCTTGAGCTCTATCTTTTTTTTTTTTAAAGAGACGGAGTCTTGCTCTGTTGCCCAAGCTGGAGTGCAGTGGCACCACCATAGCTCACTGCAGCCTCAGACTCCTAGGCTCAAGTGATCCCCCTGCCCCAGCACCCCCAAAGACTATAGGTGTATACCATCACACCTAGCTATTTTTAAAATTTTTTTGTTGAGACATGGGGTGGTAGGAGGGGGGATTCATTATTTTGCCCAGGCTAGTCTTGAACCCCTGGGCTCAAGTGATCCTCCCACCCTCCGTCTCCCAAAGTGTTGGGATTGCAGGCATGAGCCACCATGTTTGGCACCCATACATTATTTATTTTATTTCATTTTTTTTTTTGAGTTGGAGTCTCACTATGTCGCCCAGACTGTAGTGCAGGGGCCGCTCCCGGCCACCGCAGCCTCGACCTGCTGGGCTCCGGCGATCCTTCCGCCTCAGCCTTCCGAGCAGCCAGAACTAAAGGCGTGCGCTACCGTGTCCGGCTGATTTTTTTATTTATTGTAGAGATGAGGTCTCACCAAGTTGCACAGGCGGGTCTCAAACCTGCAGGCTCAGGCAATCCACTCACCTTGGCCTCCCAAAACGCGGGATTACAGGCTGAGTCGCCGAGCCCAGCTCCACCCTGTATTTGGTCCCTGTCCGTGCTGTCCCCTCAGGCAGGCCAGACACCAGATCCTCCGCTCACCCGCACCCCGCCTCCCGGTTTCCACACTTCTTCTGGCTGACATGGCCGCTCACCCCTTTCACCCCCGAAATCCATCCCCTTGCTCTTGGGAGCTTACCGTGGTCCCCTGTGTCTTCGGTCTCTTTTCTGGTAGTTGCGGTTCCCTCTTTGCTCTCATGAAAACCTGTTTCACCACTGAGGTCCCTGGTTCCCCAACCCATGACTGCCTCTGTCCCCCCAACCTCTCGCGTGACAGGGCTTTGAAGCGGGAACTCGCTGATGGTTCCAAACCGCCCTCTCCCTCTCCTTCCTGGAACCTCCAGCTCTGAAGTGTGCGTCCTCCGAGGAAGCCTCTGCCTGCCCTCCTTGCTGCAACGATCCACTGGCCACCTCCCCAGCCCCGGATACCCTATTCTTTGAAGATCCAGATCCCGGCTCACCCTTCTCTCCCCAACCCTTCTCTCATCGAGCCTGGAGGTTCCCCCGTCCACGTGGAGGGCCCTGCTCCACCCCGGCCTGGTTCCCTTGCCCTCCTGTCCTCCAGGGATCCTGTCCTCTGCTTGGCCACTGCTTCCCACTCGCACAGTCAGAACTCGATCTTGTCACGGCCAATCATTGCGTCCCTCTGTGTCTAACTCCAGCCTGACTGCCGTGGCTGGGCTTCCCACCTCTGTCCTCTAATGCCTTGGAGTCCACGGTACTCAGCCCACTTGGACCTGCAACGTCTCGGTCTGGTCACCTTCTCACTACTCCTCCTGCCACCCTCCCTTTTGGCTTTTGGATCCGGTAGCCCAGCTTATGTGCCTGGCTACCTCGGCTCTTCGGGCCTTTTCTCCCATTAGTATACTCACCTGGCCAAATCCCAGCCACGGTCAGTTGCAACTTTCTGTCTACCCTTTGTCTACTTCCAGACCGCTGGATAAGGCTGGAAAAAGCACATAAAGCCACGTGGCTGGGCCCTGCTTCATCTCCATGACTCCTAATCCCAAGTGAGCCCTCACTGGTCTATTTCCCTAATCCGTCTGTTCTCCCTCCGGCCTGGATAACCGTTTCATAGTTTCTCCCCTCAAATCTTAAAACAGAGTCGGACTGCCTAGAATGGCTTCCGGGCTTTGCCACATCCCAGCTGTGTCAAGTTACTTAACCTCTTCGTGCCTCAGTTTGCTCCACTGTAAAGTGGGAGTCACAAAAATAGCTGTTTCGTGTAATTTATGACGAAACGAATCACGCACTGGATCGGTCCCTGATCGTCGTCAGAGCTGAAGAGACGGCAGCTGGCTTCCTGCGTCATGGAGAAAATGATGACAGTCTGAAAAGTTCTCCACATGCTTAATTCAACTACCCATACACGCACCAACACAACTGCCAACACCAACACCTCTGCAGTGGTACCGGGCACTCTTCTGTCCTTTGTGCTGGATGGATCAGCGGTGGGCACGCGTGGTTATTACGTCACCATGCCCCGTCACCTGCCAAGACCATTGCCCCGGCACTTACCTTCTTTCTTCTGAATCCTGA